ATGTTGTAATAATCGTATGAAGCTCATCAACGAAAAGTCCTTTATTTCAGTTGTATGAAAAATGGTGTCTCTGGTGGAATTCGAATCCTACGTGTTTCATGCTCTTCTAAATTGGAGTGCAAGTAGCAGTGTCGAGAGGGAAAGGGATTAAGCCAATTTAAAACAGAAATTAAGAAAGACAAAAACTATACCAGAAAGGTAAAGATTGGCTGTGTGGTGATCCAGAAGATCTCACTGAAGAAACTATTTATGATTAGGAGAGAGAGAATAGAAGCTGGTCAGAGGAAAAAATCTAAAACCCCCAAAATTTGTGAAACACTTTCCGCATATTATAGTACGAAAAAGACGTAAATTTATCTGAAACTGTTTAGCGGTTTAAATAGGACACACTGTTACCTATCAAATTGTCAATCAGATACAAAGAATCAAATACAAAAAAAAAAAGAAGAAAAAGTGCACCTAAGCCAATATGAATTTCATTAACCTGTTGATTAAGTCATAAACGAAAAGCGGAACAATGACAACTGAATATTGATTCATATGTATACAATATAATATTAGATGAGTCATTTATCGGTTTCATAAATTTCCATTTCACGTTGAAGAATAGATCTATTTATCCATTACTGCCTAATAGTTTAGTATTTTCCGTTAGCTGGGCATACTCGTATATCATTATTCAACTTCATAAATAAAAACAATCATTGTTGTTTTGTCGCTTTTCCTCAATGGTGTTCTGAATGTATAGGTCATGCGGGCGCACGCCCCAAGAAAACTCGACCCTCTCCTCCCCATTGAAAATTTTCGAAGCAATGAAATCGCGCTCAAAGTTAAAAATCACTTCATATCACCTCATTTGAAAACTTAGTTAACAGTAATAATATGTACGTTGTTATATAGCGCTCTACACGTAAGTCTTAGAACGCTTCTCCACATTATTACCCATTATTACGATGCCTATGGGGAAACTCTATAGTTTGCCGCATGAATATCAGCGCATTTTGCACTTGAACCTCCTTAGTACCCACTTATACTCCTGGGGGGAGAGGAGCAACAGGGGCGGATCTCCGTTTTGCCACTACATTTTAACATTTCGGGGCATATATATTGAAATTAGCGCTCTCAAATACGGTATCTATTCTGAATATGTTGTGCCTCCCACCCCTGTTTGAAAATTTCTTGATCCGCCCCTGCAACGTAGCATGCCTTGCTCAAGCACGCAAGTAAAATTCACAGTGAGGCATTGAAACTCCGACTTCAAGGTTGGGAAACCAAACCGCCGTTTCCGCTGTGCCAAACCGTGTGACAATGTGTGACGTTGGCATATCATTAAAAATTGCATATACCAGACGACATTTTGTCTGTTGTGAAAGTAATACTTTTTAATCGCATATTTTTGTGATGATTGTTTAAGGCACTAAGTTGTTACACATTTCCACGTCGAATGGTTTCTAGCCGTGAAATAGGCAATTCCTCTCAGCTGCGTTGTACCTATAGCGCCAATTAATTTGCGTCAAGAAATATAAAGTAATCGTCACACGTCCACAATACGTCCACCTCTGCACTAAAGCGCGGAGCTCGTTTTTGCTAGACAACATCTAGAAAAAAAGGATCACTCGTATTTTGCTATCCTTGTTGCTATCTAGCTTAGTGAAACGTAGCACAATAATCAATATAACTTTTTACTTCCATTGTTCTAGTATGATGTGTGGACCAATACAATTAGAAGACGTGTAAAGTACATCGCCAGTGCGTAATCTAAATGATTCCAATGTATATGAAATAATGACATGAACTCATATGTACGGCACAACGTGCTGAAAAAATGTCCTAATACAAAAACAAAATAAAATAAATAAAAATTACTCGCGTGCATTAGACGACCAATGAAAAACACTGCGTTTACACGCACTTACACTGGCCTATGTACGTACCCAATTGGGAAATTTAAAAATCTCTCACTACTGTACTAAAGATCGTTGCCCTTGGGGTTTACATATTCACTCCTGAAATTATAGGAAAATCCTACAGGCTACAAGTATGTGTTAATCTTTGTGTGTGTACACAACAACGTGCTACGCAATGACTGATTCATCCTCACTATATCAAGATATTCTTCTTTCTGTCAGTGTTAATATTGTTTACGATGTGGCTTTGTTAACAAACTGAAATTATTTCTCCATTTATCCGCAGTTTCTACCACCTCGGGACAGAATTAGCCCACAACACTCCCCAATGAACTTTGATTCCCACGAACGTTTAGCAGCAATTTACATCTCATATCTGTAGAATGTATGTTAATGCGGGGATGAACCTTCAAAGTCTATTAAATTTAAAGAATAATTGTCGACGTGTGATCAGTCAACTTCGTTTGATTTCATGATAGTAATTTACACGTTGTCTTTAAGAGTAGACTGTCCCCCGGGTGTTACAATGCATTGGTGACGATGATGCTTATCGAAACTAAGGTGCTATTTAACAGTACTACCAAGAGGTAGTACTTTTTAATTGCATCTGACTGGAAATATCTTAATCCTAATATCAATAATTAATTAATGACTGTCAGTACCGCCTACTAAAAAATTAAAGACATTGCGCAATATGCCAATGTATTTATAGAGTATCTTAGGTTGGCTTTATTGTGTGCTGCTCTTGAGCATACATTTTTTAGCAACTTCATGACCTGTACTTTGTTGTCACTCTGTAAATGGAAAAAATTATATTAATGTTCTCTACTGTCCAACTCAGCGTTTTCTCTTCATATGTTTGTGTTTATATATATATATATCTGTCTCTTATACACATCTAGATGTGTATAAGAGACAGATTTATCTTGCAATATTTGTGACACTTATATTTTTATTGCTATGTTTTGTGCAGTATGTCTTTATAATTAAAGGAAAAAAAGCAATAATAATGATGATAATAATAATAATAATAATAATAATAATAATAATAATAATTATAATAATAGACAAAACGAAATATTTTCGTATTCATATATCGTGTTTCTTCATGTCATTTTAATAGAAAGAAGTGACAAAAGTAACATGATATCAGATATGTCAATGTAATTTTGTATTTCATCTCCAATTATTTCCTCAAATAGGAAGATCAATTTCACTTCTCCATTAAGTGAGTAGGTATGCGGGGCTGAGTATTAGATATTGGTTTAAACATAATTTATGAACCCGCTATTGTGGTTTCCAAATTTTCTGTCATGTTTTGAGACTAGTGTAATGGAAAATAAATAAATAATAAAATGAAATAGATGAAGCTGGTGCTTGTGCCCTGAACCATGGGCTTTGTCCACACTGTCAAGTATTATGTGGCAATGTATGACATATGTCCCAGAAAACCTGAGTGTAAAAGGACACTAAGATCATTGTCTAACCAGTTCAATTTCATCGCTGGTCAGACAAAATATACCTTTAGTTGCGTTGAAGGCGAGAGATAAACGGAAAAAACAAGATATTAGAAAGTACGAATTGCACCAAAAAAATCGCGGTTATGGACCAGCGTTCAGTGTACTGCTCATTACAGTAATTTAAAGATTAATAAAATGTTTTATGCCCCCAGTTCCTACTGTGATTGAGTCTTAAGGCAACCGGTAGCCATTCTTAAAACACATTTACATAGTATTTGAATACGAATGGGAAATTAAAAGTACAATTACCTGGTGAGTTGTATCTTGTGCGTTTATTCAAATTATTACACCTTTATGATTCAACTACATGTCATAGGAATCGCATTAAATTGATATGTATTAATAAATAATACCTTCTGAGAACACAATTGCCTTTAATGACTCTATCTGTTTCTATACTTACTTAAACCATGGCTCTATATTACTGTATTACAGTTCCACCGTTAAACGTTCCGAATTTTAACCTTTTAACCTTAACACTATAACTCATCACATGCCAACCACTGTGAAGTTGGTCTCTAAAAAAAAAGAAGAAAAGAGGAAGAAGAAGAAGAAGAAGAGGAAGAAGAAAAAAGAAGAAGAGTAAAAGCAAGAAGGAGAAGAAGAGGAGGAGGAAGGTGAAGATAAAGAATAAGAGGGAAAAAGGGGGAAGAAGGGGAGGAGAAGGAGGAAGAAGAGGATGATGAGAAAGAAGGAGTAAGAAGAAGAAGAAGAGGAATAGAGAATGAGGAGGGGAAGGAGAAGGAACAGAAAAGAAGCAACAGAAGCTGAAGAAAAAGAATAGGGAAACTGTTAGGCCCTACTTATCAATTACACGTGACTTTTCATGTTGCAATGTTTTAACCTTATGTATGATAACCTGACAATATCATGTTCACATACGGTCAATATACAATTTCTTAATATATTAATAGCAGGAACGTCTGGAATAAGGCAGCCATAGCTTAATAAATAAAATAACAGCATTAAGCTCGACTGGAGTTCATTCATAATTTTCAGTTAATCAAAGAAAATTATATTGCTTGCAAACATTGCTGCGTGTCTACCAACCAAAGCACTCGTATCAAACAATTATTCGACATCAGTGAGCTACAAATATTCTGTGTTCCCTTGATTATAACCATTGCATTGACGTGTTTTGATATATGACTAGCTTCTTATTAAGACCAATCTGAAAAACCTTTGTTGTGTTGCATAGATACCAGCAAATAATGATCCATACTGATGTGATGAGAAGTGCGTCTTCCCATCTTGAGTCCTAGAAATGGAAAGTAGTATTGTAAAGGTTTCCAATAATGACTTGCCGGAAAAAACTAATAGCAATAAAAAAACACTGATGGAACATAACTTTAAATAGAAAAAAATATATCCGATAGACTATTAAAGAAGAGACAGCAAGTGTCTGAATGTTGAGGCTCATAATCAACGTGTTTACTCTGCGCAATCACATTATAATACATAATACATATAATATATAAGTAAGGAAAATATTGTCTCGTATTTGCATGTATTTCAATTAATTTCATTTATTATTTCCAGGCAAATCATTTACTAAAAATAAAATAACTAAAAAGTTAAAAGCAAGTCTAAAGATAAATTAGATTAAAGTTCATTCGTACTGCGCCCTCGTATACTTATGCCCACTTAATATAAAAATAGACTTAAATAACATTAAAATTTAAAACACGAACTCTACTTCACACAGGCGTGTCCATATTTAATGCTGTAGTCGTACGTCATGCACATGTCTATTTTGACGACCAGTGTGTTTGTATGGAATTGCGTTTGCCTATGTTTAGAGTAGACCTGTTTTCAGTTTTTACGAAGCACCTTTAAGTATAAATGCAATAAAATACAAGGCATACACCATGATTTTTAGCTTACACTACTGAAATTACGCATAACAAACCCAGCAAACGCAATCGTATACAAAAAATTGACTGACGTAGCCAGACGTACGCACGCCTCGACTCGGCTCAAGGAAGTAGCCTCGTTTTTTCGTTTCCGTGTGAAGCGTGTTAGCATGCCAGCTACTACTATGTGCCACATCACAGTCAATCAAGAAAATGTTTTAAAATGTAACAAGTAAATGTAAATGTTGGGTTGCAACAACCTTAGAAGGATGAACACTGCTGAAAATGAATTGCGACATTAGTAGAACATGTAAGCGCAACTTTCCTACATTTTGATTCTGATATCTTAATGTGAATAGTCAGTAAGTAAGGCACGTGAGCGATTAATTGCCTTTCATTTGCTTTTGTTGTTGGGTTTGTTTTCATTATGGTGATTTCATCACCGATGGCTTCACTTAGTAGTAATAGTTTGCAATGTATCCTTACTGTGCAGCATCGACTCTCAAAAAACCTTGTTATTAGGCCTACTCTCCATTTAGGTTTTTTATATGAGCACTCGAAATGGACACCAATAACCTACTGAAAAATCTGCCAATGGTAGGCCTACATTGATCGTATTATTGTTTGTTCTTTAATGAGAATGTCAGAAAATACTACAACGGGTAGATTATAACCTTATATATTATTCTAAACCCAAATAGGTCTAGATTTTTCAGTTATTACATTTTCATTGTCCATGTGCTTGAAGTTAATACATACTGATATCCAATAGGCTCATTAATGTCGACACGGAAGTGACCTAATAAAATACGTAAGACGCGTTAACACGTAACAACGCTCTCTGCCATATCTACCTCAGACGAGGCTTAGCCAGTGGTATAATGGGTTCGTTGCAGACATTGGTGAATATTCCTCTCCTTTAAGTGAGTGATATCCGTTACATCGTGCTTTCAATAGATGACAGAATGTATGACAACTGACGTTTAATATCATTTATTTCTGCCATGACGTAACTACGTCGCATGCAATTTGATTACGTTGTTGAAGGTTTTACGCCCAATTGGCCTGGCAGGCCTATTTTGTTTTAAGATTGAGAGAAATTCCATCACAAATAGATCTATTCACAACATAAAAAATGATGTTATCATGTATTAATAGGGTATAACGGTGGATAAGTGAAGGCATACGGATATACTGGTAGGTAAAAAATTCCCACACCTGGATTACACACAATCGTAATGAAACGCATACTAAGCTCCCTTGGGGGATACGGTAGGCCTGCCATAACGTTGCAAGAGCTAATCAGCGAATTGGCATTATAACCCCACCAGGTACCCCCCACCCCTAGAACAGTGGCGTAACAAAGAGAGCTGAGGTACCGTACTTAGCTTCTTCAGGGCCCTACTATCCTTGAGTAAAATCCTCCTTCGGCGCTTTTGACAATTTTAAAGAAGTATTTTGATGGGGTTTTTTACATATTAGTGGCAACAAAAAGGCTGATAAATTTCCAGCGGTCATTTGGGGCCCAAGTCTTCTGTCTTTAGCCAGTGACGGCTAGCTGCTACCCACTACACGAGGTAGAGAATTTATTTTAAAAATACCATGTCCAAGAACACAAGCGATATCACAGCGAAGATTCGAAAACTTTATCCAGATTAAAAGTCCGGACCACAAACGTTGCCCCAACCACTCCGAAAGAGAATAAGAAAGTGGTGCCACATATTTTACGCAGACGGGCATGTACGTACTTTTATATGTACCTCCACTCATATTCTATTAAGATACCGATCTGAATAATATAAAATGCCAATTTGTGGCTTTATCAAGATTGCTTAAAAAATGGTCATCTTAAAGACAACGAATAAACTGATATAATGTTGATTGACTATCATAATTAGTTTTCAAAAACATTGCCATAATCTTTTATTTGTTTTACAGTCTAATGAGGAAAAGAAGAAAAGTAGTTACGACATCAAAGTTGTATACAGAGGTTTATGTAATGTTCGCTATGGATTGGTTTTGTTTATATGTATGTGGACCGGGTTGTGCAATGGTTTAGTGAAAGCATTCTCCTTCTGGTATATCGAAGCACTTGGTAAGTCAATTTTATTAATTAAACTTTTTATGTTACTTGCGAGATCATATAACAGTCTCAAACTGTGCTTGTGGGCCTACCCTGCTCATTGGACGTAGTATTGCTGCCATGGATTGCAATTTTTTTTTTATTTCTGTCTGCCTACAAATTCTAATTTTCCACTCATAGATAGTTGTTTTTTTCTGCACCTCCGTAATAGACCTTTCCGGAGTCTCTATCAAAATTAATGACTGAACAATCAAAACGGGATAAGAATACGTGCTTGTCCCACAAAAGCATGTGTCTCCCTCCCCAACCGTACGTATGTTGACGCTGCCGTTTAATGGGATATTTAGCAACACTATTCAAGGGATGTGGGCTTAGCGGAAAGTTAAATTTTCTCTCATTGTGGATTATCAATAATATACAAATTAAACGAATAATTCTGTATGACTCATGAGTCCCTACTATTGATAATTAAATAATTTAACAATGCACAACTTTGATTGATTTGATTGATTGATTGATTGATGATTGATGATGATTGATTTTAATTTATTCTTTCGATTCTATTAATTGTAGTAATATATATATATTTAGGCCTGTCTATATGTTGTTTACTCGATGGTTTGACTCAAAGATGATAATACATTGGTCCATACATCAACCGAGTATCTGTTGTTATTGTTGTGTCTGGATTACTGGTTCCAGCATCATAATTGATAGCGATTGTAATGTATATAAATAATATTACAGTTGATCAATCGATTAATCAATCATCTATATTAAAGATTATTGCATTGAGCTTTATTATCCTATCTGTCATTCGTTTTACGAAGTAGGCCTATATTACAAGTGATGTGCTTTTCTAGTCGATTCTCGTCATTAAATCACCTCTTTAAGTATATAAATCAAGTGATAACTGTTAAGCTATCAGTAGCTTCGCAATTCATTTAGCTTATAGTGTTTACGTAATGCTAAGGGATACACGAACCTGTCATATGAAAAGGTTTTGCATAATTGCTTGACAATGTGTCTTCACGTTTGAATCGTGGTCGTATTTGTCTGGTAGAGAGAGTCAACAAACAGTAGAACTTGGATTTATTGGAGGTTGATTGGACACTCCAAAGTTAATTGGCGATTATAGGTTCCGCGCGTGGTCATGCACGGTCAACTATAAAATTAAGTCAGTGGAATATTGAAATGTTTTGAAACGTGAGAAATTGTACCATTAATACATCCATCAAAAGTTAATTGATTCCTTTGTTAACCGATCAGAAGGAGAGATTAGATGCAGTCAATTAGGACAATTATAAAATTTGAGTGAATACAAAACGTTTTCTATTGAAAAATATTAAATAAAACAGACGCAACATATTGCTTGAGTTTCCTACCTTCTTACCGTGAATCGTCTAGTTTTGATAATGAAGAAACCACCTTTATTATTATTATATATATATATATATATATCTGTCTCTTATA